CTCTTCCCAAACATCTACCCAAACTTCAATTTCAGGAGGTTATTGCTTCTCCCTAGCGTTCAGTGCAGCCAGATTTCTCTAAGATGTGACAATTACTATTTCTTCATAAGAATCTTAGAATATGGAAAAATAAACGAAGAAGGAATACTCAATATTTATACCAGACTTGTATATCCACTACTTATTTGGGTATTTCAAAACTTTATTAAGTCTTGACAAAAGAATGCATAAAAATACATAAAACAGCTGATCCTCTAAACCAGACATGTCAAACACAAGGCCCGGGGGCTGGATGTGGCCCGTGACGTGGTTTCATGTGGCCCACGAAGCCATCCTGGAAACAGTGAGGGAATGGCCCCCGTTGCCTTGGCCCCGGCCGGCCGGGAGCCAATGTATAATTTTGTGGTGGCCATCTATGCTGAAACGCATTCAGTCTTAGCTCCACAAGGCTGTCTGGAAACAGCGAGGAACCAGCCCCTGCTGCATCATCCCCGTCCCCTGAGTTTATGCTGGGGAGGTGTCACCCTTTGTGAGGAATGAAAAAATGGACCATTGCCTGGAAATGGCCAGCAAATGGCCCTCGCCTAATTCACATATCCAGCTTGATGGGCTCCGGGGGAGGGGTTTCGTCAGACTCTTCCAGTGGACCATGCCTTGGCGCTTGCCCCGGTCCCACCCCCTTCTGCCAGAGATCCCCAGATCTGTCCCACTCCTGCCCAGGCCCCCACAGGCACCCTTGATGCAAACGATTTACAGCTGGCCATGCCTACCCAATAGGCCACACCCACTCCATCCACGCCCAACCAGTAGGCCACACCCACCCTGGCCACACCTACCCCCCCGAGGACAACCGCAATGCTGATGCAGCTCTCAATGAAATTGAGTTTGACACCCCTGCTCTAGGCCCATTTCAATACACAAAGAGAATTCTGATATATAATTCTGATGATTTCTCCTGGATCCTTTTGACCACAGCATAGGAATATATGTGTTTTTACTTCCTTTATAGGAGATGCTTATAAAAGGCAAAATATCTTGCAAGGAGAATCTATTGTAATTACCAAGTTATTCTTATGTAAAATTTGCACAAAGTTATCAGTAATCTCTGCAATTACTGTATAAACTGAAGCCTGGTGGTTGCATACAACCTACCAAAACTTTTCTTATGGTTCACTGAGTGCCCTTCTACAAACATTACTGGTTGGAATTGAACACGGGGAAGCCAGATTCATTTAACAACCGTGCTACTAATTTAACACTTGGAGGGATTTATTTAACAAATATGGCAAGAAAAGTCATAAAATGGGACAAAACTCACTTAACAAATTTCTCACTTAGCAACTTAAGTTCTGAGTTCAATTGTGGTCGTACGTTGAGGACTACCTGTACTATAATATTCTCATTTACTGGTAATTAGTTTGTTTGGGATCTAACACCATGCTATAATTTTCTGTTTCACAAACAAAGAGAAACATCATGCTCTAGAAGACTACACAAATTTGGTTTTGTTTTTAAGTTAGCCAAAGTTTAAGGCTTTTCATATACAGTACTGGGGTTTGCTGAAACATATAATTTTTTTAAACAAACAAACAAACAAACAAGCAAACATGAAGTAATCCGTGGTGTATGAGTTTGTACAATTTAAAAACCAAAGTCACGAGTCTGGATGGTTTAAAGTAATAACATTTAAACTAATCATTTTGTTACTTATATTTCTCATTTAGGTAGTGTGAGTGGTTGAGTCTCTTTCGATTCATATAGTGCTGAGCTCAGTTACCCATTGACCTTGAGAAGATCAATGGATTGAAAATAGAGGATGGATTTCTGCAATATCCTAATCTTTATGAACCTAACACATTTGACAACTCAGCAATAACAAGTTTTTAAAAAATCATTCCCACTCAGTCATCACACATTAATTTTCCTGAAAGTTTTTATAAATTCCATGATAGCTGTATTTTTAAAGCTTGGTCAGCTTATCTGACCAACTTCCCTATTGCTAAAGCTTGGGAAATCTAATTTTCTAACTACAAGATATGAGTATTTCCGTGTGACTACATATGTGTAGTTCTCTTTCAGAATTGTTGAACAAAATAAGTTCTTGTAGAAGAACTTTCAGTTCTGCCTTACCTAACTTTATATAGGGCACTGCTGGTGGAGGTGTCTTCTGCTGATGCCAGCAAAAGCACAGCGAAGGGATCTGCTGACATGTTATCCTCTTGACTTATATTTCCCCTTGCTATTTCAAGTCTACCAGGACACTAATTCATTCTCTCTTCTCTTTGAAAAAAACTAGGCTGCTTTAAAACGTTGGCTTTCCTTTCCCAACTTCACTCCCTCTGCCACCCATCACTTCAGGGCTGCCTCTGCTTGTTTTCAGAGGGTGAAGATCACTTCATAGCCACATTGGTTCCTTTTCCAGATGTGTGCTTGATTTGGATCTTTTTTTCTTTTTCCCATGGCTATAAACAAAGAACAGGAGGTGGAGTGGAAGAGAGGTGGTGAAAATCTGCTTGGGTTGAAGCCATAACACGTTTCTCTTTCACCTGGAGAAGCTGATGCAGCTGAAGCCATATAAAGATGAAAAGCCATTCTCTCCCGCCCCATACATCACTCAGTTCCAAGTGAATGAACAAAGAACTAGAGGTCTGCAAAGCATTTGGGACTAACCTTTTCTGATTCAGGAATCCTGAATCCTGACCAAAAACCTTTGTGTCTGAAATGGGCTGTTCTGATCTCAGATCGAATAAAGTCTAATAAAATCGAAAGCGCCCATTTTAACATTGGGACACCTGAAGTTGGAATGGAACGTTTGGGTATTGATAGAGGGTGATGTGAAAATGTTTCGGACATCTCTGCAAAGCAGTTATGGCCACATCCATGTCAAAACCTTATTGTTTTGCAAAGCCAATCTAGAATCTCTTTTGAGTACCACAAGGTCTTGCATAACATTTAATAGAATTGCATTTGCTGTGTGGTGATCAAACAAAATGACTCACTGGTTAAGGATACACAATTTTTCAGAGCTTCATTTTGGCAATGCCCCTTATAAAAGCCATGGAATTTCTCTTTCAAGGGATCAAGACTATTGATATTATAATGCAGTCTTCCTAATCTATGGTCCAAAATGTCTTTAGACTCTAAGTCCCAGAATTCTCAGCAAGCCCCTTTAGTCCTAACATATTTGGAAGCCAACGGATTAGGGGAAGGCTACAATAATTGCTCTCCGTGAACTTGGCTCCTTAACATATAGAAAGTATCAGGTGTTCATAAGGCAAAGATATTTCAAAATTAGAANAGAAAACAGTTTTTAAAAAGTTTCACTATGTATGTACCGGCGTATCTTATTCTTAATTCACATTAGGCATTGCAGGGAAGCAAAGAACATTTTGCTGTCAAGTAAGGACAGTAAAATCTTAATAAATAAAAGATGCTTCACCATTTCTTATTTAGTGTAACAAGGCCATAACCTTCATTAAGATCTTTTTTACTCCTCTCAAAGAAAATTGCAAGTGGAAAGAAAAATACCTTTCTTGCCTTATTTTTAAAATGATTACACTCCTGGCACTCCTATTCTCAAACCTTAAGTCAAGCTGTTAAAATTTACACAAACCTTTAAAGACTTCTTAATCTTCCTAGTAAAGCAGATTTGAAAAATAAAAATAGACTGAAGGTACTACCTCATCAAACAACGTTTGATAAAACTTTAAATAACTTTTACACATATATTATATTCCAGACTGCTATATTAAGCAAGAGCTGAAGTTATTATTTTGTTGGTGTTTCCAAATAAATTAAAGCCATTTATCATTATTTTTTTTTAAAAAAACTGTTCTAAAATACCTAATTAACTTTGTATCCAAGTATAAGTACGGTGCAATGTTTATCTCGGTTAGAACCAAAGAATAGGTCGAAGTGAGCTGTAAGAAATTATTGGTTCCAGCTTTGTGACATGTTGAATTTTTTAAAATTGAAATTTAAACACAGTGGATGCCACCATGATTAATGTGAATGCCGATGAAGGCTGGCAGTAGCAAAAATGGGGTGTGGGGAGATTTCACCCATTAAAGATGAAAAGGAGTGTCAACCTTAAAAGCAGTAACATCAACTGATTCATTTATTTTAACCTTTTGTTAAATTGCTGTATTTATCTGGCAGGGGAGCTATCCTGATCATGAAGTATTTGAACTGCATTATATTGATTTAAATATCATAAGCTTAAGAAAAACGTATCTGGGAGAATCCTAAAGGAAGGGAACAATTATTCTGAAGGCTAACATATTTTAGCCCAAGAAACACATTGCATGTGCTTTCATTACATTCTCTTTCATCTAAAAGGTAGTCCATTGAAAACACATAACAACCATAATAGTTCATAAAAATCAAAGCCCATGAAAGATCCAGGTTTAAAAGCAATTGAGTCTCTTTCAACCAAGCTCTCTCAGCATCAGCCCTCCACAGATTTAATGTTAGAAGAAGACTATAATTAGAGCTAGGTATTCTTGTATATGAAAGCAAAATAAAATAAAATACATGTCAATTCTTGGAGCAAAGAGCAAAAGTGTAACACATCTGGTGCTGGGTAGAATACAATTGGTTTGCAAGATTTAAATTCCAACTGGTGCAAAAAAGAAGAAGCCAGTTTTACATTTCTTCTCAATCCATTTTACCCATTCATTTTAATAACACTTGGTGATGAGTAGATGAAATTTGAAAATATTATGCAACCAAATAAAGTCTTCAAGCTTTCTGAGGAGTATCTGCTTTCTCAATCTCACCAATTAATTTTAGAGGGAGGGAATGGAAATATGAGGAGAAGGGTTTTTATCTGTAGTTATAGTAATTGCTCCACTTCATTGACTTAAGCTTGAATTCCTATTGAGGATAATCCTATTTTTCCCTCATGGGAAATGAAATACTTCATTTATGACTTCATTTTTTCAAATTTACTTTCCCCTTGCTTTTCAAAAACCATGTCTACCTTTGGTGGGACTACTTACCCGCATAATCTGTTCTTGCATAATGTCCATCTTCTGACTTTGTAGTGGCAGTTGTGTTATCTGAAAGACATTGCATTTGTTTACTTTGGTTGCAAACTGACATCAAATCCCTTGCTAGGATAAATGGTTCTCTTGCATTTTAAAATCACAGCTGTGATTCACAGTTTAGCTTTATACCAGTGACGAAATGTAAGAAAGCTTTGGTTGCTTTCCTTCTAAAGCCAATGCAATCATTTTACCAAAGCTTATAGAAAAGTACACAAGAATTTACAGGACTGTACATAAAAAAATATCTTTTTGGGTTAGGCCAAGATTCTCCCTAGTTCATCCTTCTGTTTCTCATCATAGCCACCCAGATAAAATGCTCACATACAAGTGACAGAGATAGAATTTTCTTGCAGCAGGAAATAATACAAGACAAAAGTCACATTGAGCTTTCAAGACCAATAATCCTTGATAGATGAGTCCTTCATTAATTTATCTAATCCCTTTTAAAGTTATCAACTTAGTGGCCATTGTCACATTTTTTACTACCTCAGATAAACTGTAAAGGATTTAAATTTGAAATGCCTCAGGGGTTAGATTTCTCTTGGTTGGAACAGGAACATTTTAACCTTATGACTTATTTAGTTCTCAATCTATATATCTGAACAGTTTCATGAAAGCTGTGGGGATTGTACTTAATATCTGAGGGAGCTCAACTACATGACTACAGATAGTTTCCGGATAGTTTCCTGACTGCTGTGAGGAATGTGGCTTTTACTTGCATTTGAATGGAAGTCTTGATGGTCAAAACTGACTGAATGTTTATTAGAAGAAAAAAACAATAGTTAAGATAAGAGGCTTGCATTTCTGATGCAATGTAATGACAATTTGCATTCTATGTATGCTACATTACATTTACAAAATTATGGGTGTTTTGTAAATTATAATGGCTATACAAGAATAGCTCAAAAGAATCATATAAAACATTTAATAATACACACCTCTATCAAAAACTGTGGAAGTAAAGCATTATTATGAACCATTTATATAGTCAGGCTATATTTATGGATTTCCCCCAGTCATTCAGCTAATTTTAAAAAATATAAATAAATAAATAAACAATGTGTAAATTACGAACACCTTTCTTTTCAATTTTTTTTTACTATAGTTGAACAAATCAGATGTCCTTGGCAATAAATGAACCTTCCAACTAAACAAAATCTGACAGAAATCCCAAATGAACTGTTTTATTCAATTAAGAGAGCTTATGAAAACATGTTATATTTGAGAGAGTCAGCTGTTTCCCTCTAGAATTAAAAATCCAGAGTAGATTATGCAAGGAGGAAAAACGAGAAACAGCAGTCATGTATGAAATGATTAAAATTAGTCTGTACTCTTGTCAGCCTTATATTTTTGAACAGACATGCATGGGCTATATTGAAACCCTGGAAAGTAAATCTTTTTTCTGTTAGAGCTTTACTGTGCACATCATTCTATTACATACTGGAAAAAAAATGAAGTTCAGTAGTCAGAACAAATTATTTACTTATAGGGTCTCTGTTCCGTTGGGGAGTAGGAAATCAAGTTGATGAACCATCTGTGCTTGACCAAGGCATAGAAATGCCTGGTCTTGCCTGATCTTGGAAGCCCAGCACAGTTGCACAGTCGGTATTTAAAGAGAAGATCTTAAGTCTGTAGGTTATCAAAAACACTTCTCTGAAGGCAGCAATGGCAAACAAATTCATTCTGTTAACAGGGAAAAAAAACTACAGCATTGTGTTCATGAAGTCACAAGGAATCCAGCTGGATTCCAAGGAGATGTACGGTAGCTATACATACTGCAATGAAAAAAACCCAACCTTCCAGCTTCTTGGTAGATAAAACAGTGGAGTTTGTCAGTGAGGATTCTATTCCTACTGGAGTGAAGACATATCAAAAGCTCTTTCAGATCTCTCAGAATATTCTGGAGAGGTCAGAGACTGAAGAGGCAGGGCTCCTACATAGCAGATATTGCTTGTAGTCCCTTACATATTTTTAAAATTTTCTTGGGTGAGTATTGTGTGCCTGAACAGAGCTATGATAATGAAGGCACGCTGTGTGTCTTTGAGGATATTTTTTGGCCAGTTGAATGTTTTCTTGCAAAGTAAACACTATTCACAGCCGTACCCAGAACATATGTGCAGTTAATGTCTGGTTGCCAGAATCCACTTTGGACTTGAACACATTCTATGCAAGAATAGAAAACTTTATGTTCTCCATATGTTGTAGTGCAATTCCAAATTAAGGCAGAGAACCTGAATCTTGGTCTCACCCTGCTCTGCTTGGAACTGGGGTCTGTTACGATCAGCTGCTGCCAATAATGGAAGCTTTGTATACGTACAGATATTACCTGACAGAACCTTGGATTAGGGCCTTGATTCAGATGTTCCTTTCGGGTTTTTCTTTAACAATGACAAACAACCTAAATGGAGCTTTTCTGTGACAACATAAGGGGGAATGAGAGAAAGCGGAGCTACGTAGATATTTTCAGAGGTACAAATTTGACAGAAAAATGAAAGGTTTTTTTTAGAATCTTAGAGAAACAAAGTTATGTCCCCTACATTCTCACTTGGAATCAAAGTACTTCATCTCCCACAATTTGTAGCCGTCTTCCATAATTTGGTGCTCTCCAGATTCTTATTCTCTCCAGCCACCAAGGCCAATGATAAGGGTTATAGCTCAAAACATCTGGAAGGCAGATTGAAACCCCGAGATGATACACAGCACTTTCAAGGGAGGCAGTGGGAACAGGAGGAGAACTGCAACCACCACAACTGCTAGTAGAGTACATTTCCAATCTCACTAGAACAGGGTTCCCCAACCCCCAGACCATGGACCTATACTGGTCCCTGGCCTGTTAGGAACCAGGCCACGAAAGTGGTGAGCGAGCGAGCGAAGCTTCACCTGCGCACGCACGGGATGTAGGTTGCGCATGAAACCATCCTTCCCTGGTTCATGGAAGATAATTTTTCTTCCAAAACCAGTCACTGTTATCAGAACGGTTGGGGACCACTGCCCTAGAGCTTATCACCTCTCAGTATTGTCAAAGGGATCTTTCTTTCTGCAAAGGCTTGCAAATCCACATGTGTGTGTGTTTCCTTGTTCATGGAATATTTTAAAGTCAGCTCAATATATGCTGTTGACCCAGCATGTAGACTTCAATTTATTTTTAAAAGTCTGGTACATCTTCTTCTTTTGCTTCTTACACTGTTTGGGTATATCATAAGTACTGTCAAAAATCTAGGTTAACATACAAAGACTGCAGCAATCCAGTTGTTTATCTTCTGTTTCAATTGAATGTAAGGATGCTAAATAACTGTACCCTTGGCTGTGAGCCATAATAAAAAGAAAATTATTGTCACACCTGTTCATAGCCTGAAAATCTATGGAAAACGTAAGAAATGTCTAACACTGCAATAATTCATGCCAGCTCCCTCTGTCCCAGTTCTCTTTCTCTTACACACAACAGAGTAAGAATGGAGCGCTACCTTCCAACTGAATTTGGCTAGGAGCATTACCTTGACATCGGCCCAAAGACATGACTTCAATTTTCTCCTGTTTCTGACATGATGCCTCTTTGATCTGACATGCATTATCGTAAGATCTTCCATCGGAAGCACAGAGAGGATTGAAGTTGGTTTGTGAACAGTCAATGTTGCACACACACCTGAAAAGATAAAAAAATAACTCATGTAAAAAAAAAATGCATCAATTTACAATAAAAGAAAGGGCTTTCACTTAAAAATAAACACCACCAATAATAAATTAAGAAGAAGTGCTGTGATTTTGCAATTATGATGTGAATCAAATGAAAGAGAGGGCTGGCAGAGGACTAGTGACTAGAAAAGAAAGCTAAAATGAAAGTATTTTAACACAGCTAGTCCTCAACCTACCATAGTTCATGTAGTGAGCGTTTGAAGTTACAATGGCCCTGAAAAAAGTGATTTATGACCGTTTTTCATGCTTATGGCTGTGGCAGCATCCCCATGGGTCACATGATCAAAATTTGGACGTTTGGCAACTGACAATGTATTTATGACCTTTGCTGTGTCCCAGGGGGGCGTCATGTGATTCCCTTTTACGACCTTCTGACAAGCAAAGCCAATGGGGAAGCCAGATTCACTTAAAAACCGTGTTGCTAACTTAACAACTGCAGTGATTCACTTAACTGTGGCAAGAAAGGTCGTAAAATGGGGCCAAAGTTGACTTTAACAAATGTCTCACTTAGCAAAAGAAATATTGGGCTTAATTGTGGTCGTAAGTTGAGGATTACCTGTACTGCCATGAAAAGGCCTTTCCTGACTCCATACCGTCCAGATATTCATCTGAGGCAGGACAGAGAACGAGGTTCTAACTCAATATTGGCTGTGATCAGGGCCTTTTTTTAATGTTTTATAGTAGCACTTTGCTCAGGAAAACCTTTCAGCGGAGAGCCTCCTTTGAGTGAATCTTTATTTATTAGTTACCCTAGGCTGTGAAAACTTCCATTTCAAGTAGCACTTGCTATTAATTTCATATGACTGATCTACCCAATTGCATTGTGCTAAGTATATTGCTTTACTGTTTGGAAATGTTGGGTTTTGGTTTTTTTTGCAAATGTCTAAAAATACAACTCTCGGATATTATTTGACTGGAAATTTTGAGAATTTCAGAAAGTTTCTACATACCCCTCTGCCATATAATGAAATAATTATCTCACATGTTTCAGCAATGTGTTTTGTTGGAGGGGAACACAGCAAAATATTCAGAGTCTGCAAGCATTGCCGAGGCCTGATTTACGCCACGGTAAGGGCGTAAGATGGTATCCTTTGAGCAGCCTGCCAAAATTACATTTCATAGTGCCTGCCTTGCTCACATATAAGTCAGATGGAGGGAAGTGTGTACAAGGGAGGAGATCTTCCAAATTCCGCTCTACTCTTCTGCATTACAATTCCTTCACCCATTTTTTCTCCCATTGTGGCTTAGGTATTGAAAGAAATAGGAGCCAAGGGTTTGGAATACTGTGGCAGTAGAAAAATGTGTACGCTCCCTATTCTAAGATTCAAATAATACCGGGTCAATAACAAATTTGTTTGGAAAGAATGAGAAGATTTCATGATTATCATTAAACCTCCAAACTATCAGAGCTAAAACAGAATGGCTAATTCCATTCCATTCCAACATTATACAATATGCCATAATATATGGGAAGATATATTTAGTTTAGAGTTTTTGTCTCACATTTATTGTATCACAACACTTAATAATTGTTTATTCAGAACACATTTAGGAATGATATCTGGTCTGTGTGAATTATGCACATATCATAGTATATATATATATATATACATACATACACACACAGTCTCTGTGTATATACATTAATACACATAAATATATAAAATACACTAATAAATGTATCATAATTATATGCTAATTCATACAATAAAATACCTATTTGGATACTTAATTTGGTCACAGTGTCAGATTTTGTGAATGCTAATCTTTTTATTTCGATTATTTTTTTGCAATGGGAATCACCTACTGAATGTTCTTTGTGACTTAAATTTTATGCATGGTTAACCGCAGCTAAAATATGCACCAATTACAACATGATATTCCTGTATTCTAGTTTATGTGAAGTTTCTGCCATCACTATTCCTTTGAAGAAGCATAAAGAAATATGTCCATAGGGGATAAAAAAAACTCCTGCAACCTAAAACTGCTATAAAGAAGCAAAAATGTAACAAAATTAAAGAATGGTCATCTGTTTTTTTTATTATGATGATGTACTTTTTTATTATGATGTATTTTGAGAAAATTCAGACTAATTACTCTGTGTTTGTTTGTATCTGTGCATGTATATGTATTATTTAAATCTCTGCAAGGTTGCAAAAATTTAAAAAGGCAAGAAATGCTAAATCAGCAGCAGTATTAACTTCACTACTTTTCCTATGTAATTTATGGAACTCATTTCCAGGTGTAAATAGTAACAAATTAAAGAACAGAAAGAGGCAGGGATAATAACATCTATTTGCACATTTAGGAGCAAAATAATGAAATGGAGGCCTGTGAAAGGGCAGCTAAAGAATGATATTTCAGAAGGAAAAGTGACCCTTGTGTACCGAGTTCCCATTTCCATTTCAGATAACCACAGGTTTTAGGTTCTCTAGAGAGCCACAGAAAAATGGGCAGGATCTACTATGCATAGCATTTCAACGCCATCTCCCAGCATCTGACAAGTGCCCAACTGAATTAATTTTAAGGTGCCAGTTATTAAAGCCAACAGGTTTAGGTCCTAGTGAAACTGATGAGAACCTATTTATGATTTTCAGCAGGGCAGCTCCATGTTCCTATACTGTAAACAGTACAGGTAGACTGTTTTACATGAATCCTGGAAGCTGGCATATATAGTGATCTTAGAGGCATGTTGTCTACAACTATATATTTGTGCTTGAGACACTGCAATCACACAAGTATACAACATTTCTACAGAAAGGGGTTATTAAGACTGGTTTTCAATATGACTTTGTTTGGCATTTTCAAATCAAAGTTGGCTCAGGGCAATTGCCTAGGCCAGGGGTAGGCAACCTTGGCTCTTTTATGACTCGTGGACTTCAACTCCCAGAATTCCTGAGCCAGCATGGCTCAGCTTGGAAACCTCTCCCTTTCCTCTCAGCGTGGCTGGCTCAGGAATTCTGGGAGTTGAAGTCCACGAGTCATAAAAGAGCCAAGGTTGCCTACTCCTGGCCTAGGCAAATCCCTGCTGTTTTGTTGGCAGTATTTTTCAGAAGTGGCTTGTCATTGCCTCCTTCCTAGGGCTGAGAGACAGAGAGTGGCTCAAAGTCACCGAGTTGGCTTTGTGCTTAAGACAGAATTAGGACTCACAGGATCCAAATTCTAGCCTGATGCTTTAACCACTACACCAAACTGGCTTTCCTCTCAATATATTGTGTAGCGGAAAATATCACATAGGTCCTAATGATACACCACTGTACTCTAGAACAGGGGTACCCAACCCCTGGTCTGTGGACCAGTACGGGGCTGCGGCATACCAGCAACCGGTCCGCACAAACAAGCAAAGGCCCATCCACGGGATGCAGGCAATACACAAAACCACGCCCCCTCTGGTCTGCGGAAAAATCTCTCTCCATGTAACCGGTCCCTGGTGCCCAAAAGGTTGGGGACTTCTGCTCTAGAATGTAGCTCAGCACATGCTATTGACAACTGAACATCCACGTCAAAGGATTGTATACAGATCAAAATAAGTCACAAAGTTTTGTGCCTTTGACTTACATGATGCTTTGATGAAGCCTTTAGACTTTTAAACTTGAGCAGAATTAATCCTAAAATTAAATCTAAGTCTCATACCTCACTCAAAGTGAGCTCTAGTGTGCAATGCAAACTGATGGCATCGTTGACTGGTGATGCACTAACACCAGTTGTAGTATCTGTATGTAACCTGAAAGCTATCGTGGATGGTATTTGAGAGATGAGAGGTGCTGTTCTAAATTCCAAATTCTTCGACAGAATCCTAGTCTTTGGAATAGAACTGAATCAGAATGCAAAGCTGATCACTTTGCATTTTGAAAAAAGAAAAAAGACAGATTTTTTTTCCTTCTTTGTCTGACTCCAATGGCAACATATCTAAATAAACAAACCCTGAAAATTTAGCTTCCTTCAAGGTGAAGCATTATTTTTACAGTTGCTTAAGTAAAGAAGCAAGTGATTGCTGGCTTGAGAATTGGCAGCACTTACATCTTTTCTCATCCCAAAGATGCTTCAATGCCTCCCAAGTTTTAATTAATAGGATCATATGACCACTTTATCACTCTACCTGTGGCAGCCTTTATACTGCAGTTTTACCAATGTATTGTCTTTATTCCTGGACGACTATAAATCAGCAAGAGAATAACAGTATGGTGCAATTGTTAAAAAACTGAACTTAGGGAGACAAATCCAGGTTCAAGTCTGTCCTGGATATATTTGGGCCAGTTATCTGTAGCCTAGTTTACCTTGCCAAGGGTGGTGAGGTGGTTCAGGGTTAAAATGCTGGGCTTGTCAGCTGAAAAGCCGCCAGCCCAAGTTTGAGACCCAAGCTCCACGCAATGGGGTGCCCCAGTTCCTGCCAACCTAGTAGTTCAAAATCATGCAAATGTGAATAGATAAATAGGCACCATTTCACTGGGACGGTAACAGTGCTCCGTGACGTCCTACTAGCCACATGACCACAGAAATGTCTTCAGACAGCACTGGCATCTTGAAATAGAGATGAACACCCCCACCCCTCCCATAGCCAGTAATGACTAGTGGAATAAAATCCTCAGGGACTCCTTTGTCTTTTACCTTTCAGATAGTGAGGAAAAATGGGAGGCGGTACATATACTATCTTGACTTACACTGCTTTCCTGATGGTCAAATAAACCTCACAAGAAGCTCAAAGAGGTTTCTCATTCATTCAGTTTGTCAGGCACAAGAAACTAGGAGCTAGATAGAGTTCAGAAAGCACTACGAGTTTAATCCACGTAACCTTTACATAAGAAGCTGATCTACTAATGGTCAAGGCAAATTGGTGCTAGATAAGAGTCAATGGAATTCAAGGGGGGGCGACTTAGGTCTCTTATGGGAGCGTAGGGACTCTAGACTTATTATGCAATTGACCCCATCCTCGGTCTCAACTTAGTCATC